AAAAGAAAAAATGTTTTCACTGTCAGATAAGAGACACAGTTTACACTACATTTATGTTCTGCTGTTGTCGGGTAGTACACCTGGTGAAGATATAATACAGTGGAGCCTCGAGGTACCAGTTCAATCTGTTCCAAAGCACAGCGTATGTCGATGGTATTTTTATGTATTCGCTCCAGACCTGCAGAAATATAGACCATGCAAATATAGACCATGCAGAGATATTGATAATATTAAATAATAATAATTCAGAAAACATTTTATATTATTGTCATAAAAATAGGTAAAATAACCCAGTAAGTATATAATGAAATATAATTATCTTCTAGTTTAAATGACCTCATAATTGACTTAAATCCCAGTATGTTTAGATAAAAACAACGCTGCTAAACTGGCAGGAATTGAAGAAAGACAATCAGAAAGAGCTTTATCTGATTATTTGTAGCAGAAGAGCATTTAATTGCTCTGCCTGTCGCGCATTGACAACAAAGAAAAAAAATATTTGCAATAAATAAATAATAGTTTTGGGACCAATAATCTCTCACAGGGAGGTTGGCCATGCCTGGTCTGCAGTATGACAGTGACAGGAGAAGCAATACAATACTCTCCCGCTAGGTGGCAGTACATGCCTTTAGAAACTCAACAAAAGGAGAGCTCAGAGCTGAAGCTGAAGAAGATTTTCATGTGAATTTTTCTTCAATTCCTGTGAGAACCTCACGGCATGTTTCAAATGAAAAACGTGCGATGAAGAAGTCAAACACTGCTCTAAACCAACACCGTCAGCCGTCAGCCGTCAGCTGGCCCTCAGGGGTGAGAATCTCTCAAGAGTCGAACATCAAAATGTTTTAAAAAATCATTTTCACTTGCAGAGTTGTTTTAGAAAAAGATCTAGTCATTTTTGGAAAGGATTTTTTTTCCTGTCCTGAAATCCTTTTCTAGGCCTCGTTCTATCATAGGCTCAGTGCAGCCGCTCTGAGCTGCTGTTTACAGCTCAGCAGGTGCTCGCCGGGAGTGGAACTGCTCAGTGAAGCAACACATAAAACCAAGAAACCTCCTGCAGCTGAGGCTCAGGCACCGGTGTTAGATTAAAGAGCCGCTCAGGAGATTCCCATCTTGCTGTTACAACAGCCAGGCATTTAACACTTTGTCTGCTGTCGGCAGCACAAAGAAAAGAAAAGAAAAAAAGAAAAAAACACTGAACTGTTTAATAGTCTTCACAAATTCATACGAGGAGAAAATATCATCTGCGTAGAGATGAAGATTTTCTCCACACAGAGATTGATTTTCATTAAATTATAATTTCCCAGGGTCAGGTAATTATTGATCATCAATAACTAACTGATCAACGACAAACGGTCAGGTGCTGCGAAGACGGTAAAAAAAGATCTACGTATGAAAATAATATTTAAAAAAAGAACATTTATTCCATATGAGCAGAAGATCACACAAACACAACAAAAGGAGAAAACACATCCATAACAAATTGAAACAAATCATACAAAAAAATAAACAGACAAGTTTGGTATTTATATGTCAGAACATAAGACACATATTTAAATACCAAATACAAAAATATGTTTACATGTACTCAAACAATACATCAAAACATACACAAAAACAGACAATTTTAATTGTAATAAATACACATAAAAACCACAGAATTACTGACGTGTAATACATTGTTGACACAGAAACAAAAATGCAAATAAATAAATAATAACAAATAATAAATGTATACCTTAACCCTGTGAAGACAGACGTGTATAATTTGCACATGAACACACACCTCTGTAATTAGAGACACGTAAACATGAAGAGTAAACACAGACAGAAACAGAAGTCAGTGGAAATACTGACGTGGTTTTTACCTGAGCTTAGGTGAAGAGCAGACACAGAATCATGAGAGGATCTCCAGCTTCTGCTCAGACAGACTGGACTGAGATCAGCTGCTGCCCATCATCACCACCATCATCATTACCATCAGCAGCTTCTTCATCCTGCTGCTGATCCTGGAGATGATGCTCAGGCTTAGCCTCCAATCACTGCTGCTGATGCTGTTGCTGCTGCTACTGCTGCTACTCAGGGTTTTATAGCAGGGGAAGCCTCACTCACCCACAAGGGAACAGGGTTTGAGGAGGGGGACAGAGGGGCGGAGAAAGATGTAAAGGAGAGAGGGGGAGATGTAACAGTAGTCTGCAGCGTCCTCTGCAGGCCCAACATAGTAATTATTGAATTTTTTACGTTTCATTCTCTGTATATTATTTGTAACCGTCGTGCTGTAATTCATTCCCAGGACTTGAAATAGAAACAGCTAGAGAGTAATCAGAAAAGTGTGTCCTTTTTATTTCTTCTTTCAAGTTATTTTGTTGTTATGTTGTTAATTTGTCATTTACTAAACGACCTTTGGGTGGTTATTTCTTTATTACATTCGTTTTGTGCGGGAGATGTAAGAAAACAGAGACTCTTATTTTGAAACGGGACAGGAACAGGAAGTTTGAACTGTAGGTTATTGCAACTTGTTGGAGGAAAAAGTAGAAAAACTTAAATGCGGAAGTTTGTAAGACGTTTTTCCAACAACGAAGAAACGAAGAAACGGGAGAATAAACTGGACGGTGAAAAGGTATGTTTTTTAATTTCACGTTTTTTCACATTTTAGGTTTCTAATTTGAGTTTAGAACTTGAAATTATCACACACAAAAGATCACGTTCAAAAAGAGTGCTTTGTCTTTTTCTCTCTCCCACAAGTACACACATAAATTAGGAAACTGCATTTATACCTGTGTAGTTTACTGTTCTCCCAATTTGACTAGAAATTGAACAGGTTTAACACAGGATATGATGTGAACATCTGCGCGGCACCTGTACCACTTCTCAACCGCTTTGACGTCTTGGCAGTGGGCTCGCGCACCCACACACAACCAACGATGTCTAAAGAATTTGTGCAACGTTTGATCAAATATTTCTAAAGTCAAATTAAACAGAAACTCAGTGAACAGTTTATCTCACAGAGACACTGCAGTGACACAGGAGGAAGTGGTTGACCATCGGTTCACCAGCAGTTGACCTGTGTGTCCTATGTCTCTGTTATTTGTTGACTGTGTGTTTAATAATAACATGTGAGATACATAAAGTTTTTTTATGGCGTGTTAGCTGCTGCCAGTTAGCTGCACTCAACCGATTAACCGTTACCATTTATCATTTTCTTAACGTCTGTTAGCAACTTGGATTTAGTAGCTGTTAGCACGTTCCACTTGAATGTGCCTGTTTAGTATTTGGTCCACAGTTGTTGGATATGCAGTGTTAGCTGTGCCTTTAAAAGGACTGGTGTTTGGTAGATGTTCGTCAGTAAGTGGATGATAATGATAATACTAATTATAATACTGACTCAGAGCTGCCACAGGAGGCGCCATTAGGCATATATGATTCCTCTGGGAATCATTCTAGACTCATAGGTGACATTGGTTTGCTGATGATTAAATGTTCCTTGCATCAGGGACATGTAACCCACTGTAATGTCTGTAAATGCTGATTTCAGATCCATCATGGCGTCTGAAGTCTACTCCCCCACCACAGCCCCCAACCCTAAATCCTCCTGGTGCCTGGTTCCCTCAAAGCATCTGGACAAAACCCGCTTTGTGGTCAAGCTGATGGAAGTGGTGAGTGGTTCAAATGGTAACAGCAGTGTCTTGTAGGAACAGTTGAATTTGCAGCATGGCGTGTCCCCTGATTGTAGAAGAACTTTGTTCCACAAACAGAACTGTTTATATAGAACTGTTGTCTTTGAACCACTGAATCAGCTCCAAAGACGACTTCTGACTGGGGCTAACAGAAAGCCACGTTATTGGTTGAAACTGTTCCTTCCACAGAGCTGAGTAACAAGACCTGGGTGACTGGGAACTTGGTGGAGCTGTTTCCTCACAGCTGAGGAACTAGATTGTCTGATTTTCAGTCGTCTTTTCTGCAGAGGAAATTGAAACACTGGAAAAAGACTTTCTGGTGTGAAGAGTCCCTAGAACTCAATCTACAGAGATGCTGATGTGATCATTCTCTCTGTGAGTGAGTGAGAGTGTGTGTATGTGTGTTTATATTTGGGAAGTTTGTTCTTCCTCCAGCTGCAGATTTTTGAGAAGTGAAAGTCTGGGGGGGGGCAGAGAGCTGTTGTTAGCAGATCTCTGAACTACTATTGCAACACTTAACTGAGGTGTACGTTTGTGTTTGTGCGTGTGCGTGCTTGTGTGTTTTTGGGAAGGCGATGAGTGTGATTTGGTTTGTCAGCATCAGTGTTTCACAATCCCATCATCTGCAGGACACGGCCGTAGTCCCGAGGTGTTGAACATGTCATTGTGACAAAAAACAAATCTGATCAATTTTCTCAATTTTGGTATAGTTATGTATGCACGAACCATGAACTATCCTTAGTTAGTATCATTAAATTCTCTGGTCCAATAAGATACAAGTATGAGGAGTTGATTGTGATGATGTCACTCCTGTCTTCCCTTCCAGCTCTTGTCCTTTGTGGCCTTCGTCCTGGAGGAAGTGGTCAGCAGCTGCGTGGGCTGCTTTGCTCTTTATTTCTTCGAGTTTGTCAGCTGCACGGCTTTCCTCTTCACGCTGCTGCTCCTCGTCGTCCTCTCCACACCGTTCCACAACCAAGTGGGCATCACCTGCTGGCCGTCTGTGGTAAGAGCAGTTTAGCCTGGTGAGGCGGTGGGCCTCACTGACTCACTTCCTGTTGGTAAAAATATGCTGTTGATATGCTGACTACTGACATGAAGTTTAAATGTTAAGTTCATCACAAGGTTTTGATGGTTTATTTAAACTGATGCCATGAGTAGGTAGTAGTAGTTACTGTAGTTGGAAGGAGTTATAGTTTATCGGCGGTGAGCATTTTTAAAAAGGAGGCGATGATGAAGATGATGATCATAGTAAAGATGTTTATGGTGATGATGATAATCTTGATTGTGATGATATAGTGATGTTATAACGACTGATCATGATTCTGTTTTTTTTTCCTTCTTCTCTGCAGGACTTCTGCTACACAGCTGCCATCTCCCTTCTCCTTTTTGTCTCTTCTGTTATCTTCTCAGCTGACAACAGCAACTCAGACCTGGAGAAAAGTGCTGTGGTGAGAAGATGATCATATCTCATCATACTTTTCTACCCTCTCAGTGTGTCTCTTGTGACCCTTTCCTCCTTCCTTACCTCCTTATTACCTGCTAGAGTGATTTCTTATCTTCTGACTTCATTTTGAATTACTTGGTTTCCCTGCTTACTCCCTCATCTCAACTCCAGCATTATACGCCCCCCCCCCCTTACCGCCTAACGCCTAATCTAATCTCCCTTCCCCTTTACTCTCCTACTTCCTAAATACATCTCCTTCTTTCTGATTTCCTTCTGTACACCCTCATATCTCCACCAGTAGAATTATTTTCTATTGGTCTGCCTTTTTTCCGACCCCTCATCCTCCTGACTACTTGACCTAATTCCTCCATCTTTGTCTCCACTCTTCCACTCCTCCTTTTCTTCTTTCTTGCCTCCTCATGTCCTCTCTTTACATCATTATGAACCTTGTTTTTTGTTCTCTCCACTCACTGCAGGCATTTGGTTTTATGGCGTTGGTGGCGTTCCTGGTGGACCTCATCCTCTTTTATAAGACCAAGGGTTTTCCCTTTCAGAAAGGTGGGAAGGCACAGTCCAGTAACGGGGTTGGGGCCGAGGTACCTGACACTTTGCCAGAGACAGAACGACTCAATGATGTCACACAATAGAGTTTGTTTTTTTTTTTAAACTAAATGAAGAAATTCTAGGTCACAGGTCACAATGTTTTTATGCCCTGTATCCATTAATATAGCATCAGGAGCTGGAGCTCCAGTGTCAGCATTTTTTACTTTTACCAGTTGACTCAAGTAAAACAAAAATAATAGTATAAAAATAGAAACGGATAGACATTTTAAAACATGTTCCTCAGAAATACACTAGAAATAAAACAGGAAGAAAAAAACTTTCATAAAAGAATAACAAAGCTATCCTTATCTTAAATGAAATTAAAAATCCGTTTCATGAATCAGTTGCACATTACTGCAGATCAGTTGGTAAAATCATTACTATGACGGTGAAATGAAGGTGATGATTTATAAATCAGTGATTTTTTTTGGCAAAAAAAAAAATACAATCAGCACCTTTAAACCCCTCATTGATTTTTAATCTCTTTTGAAATGTAATTGTTCCTGTGTATAGTTCCTTTTTTTTCACCTTTCCTCATGGCTTTTTTAAAAAAAAATCTGATAAGATTTTGTGGCTGGACTTAGTTTCAGGAAAGGTCAAGATATAGAGAAAGAAGGATGTAAAATAGTTGAGAAGTTACAGTATAAGATAATGTACACGTGCGAAACAAATATTTTCTTTGGGAAGAAACACTGTTATGGTTCAATGATCAGCGGTTGAAAATACCGACTCATGAAAAGATTAACTTTTAATGGTGTGGACTGCAAATCAATCAGCCTTTATCCTTGACTTCCTCATTGACAGGTCAAAAAAAGCATCTTCATCTCTCAATTCAATCCTGTGTTTTATCAGCCATGCTTGTATGAACTAATCTCAAATTGTACATTTATAATTTACTAATCCATGTATTTCAGACAATCTGGAAATTCAGATTTTATTTGAGCACCATTTATGTTCAGGACCAAGTGTAGTCTTTGAAGTTAGTGTTTTATGTACATTTGTGTATGTGTATCGAGTATTTATCTGCAGGAAGATTCTGTGAGAATGTTTAATAAAGGCTGCTGTACTATTCATGTCTGTGACCACAACTGTCACGTAACAATGTCAGATTTTAAATAAAAAATGGTTGATTGTAGATTTATTAAGTTAAATCGCAGTCAACTACACTTTAAATTTAATTTTATATAATTTTTTATGGCAGTTGCCTTATTGGAGTTCATAGATTAGAATATTTTTTAAAATAACATTTACTTTATACAAGTATCCTTTTTAATGAAATACTTGGCATTACTGGTTGCATTTTAGATTAGTTAATAGTAATATTTCATGAATATATATAATATTCAATACCTTTTCCAACAAATTATTTTTTAAAAATATTTAAATTGACTTTTACTGTTTAATGTATAATTTCAAATTATTTTGTTTTTGGATTTGACATGAAAAATGTAGTGTTTTTTTTAATTAAACTATAACTCACTTTGTGAGGGTAAACAGCGCCCCCAATAGGTGCAGGAAGCTTAATTTTTGTTGTGTGGGGAAAGATGGTACTGCAGCTAAGAGAAGTAGTATTCATCTACAGAGGGAAAACGATTCAAAAGATAAGGATGAAAGCTACATTTGTATATAATAACTTTTTACAAGAAAATTGAAACTAAATTAACTAAAACATTGCTGATGATATGTGACCTCAGTTTAAAAAATACCCTCCTGTTTAACTTCGTGATCCTGGAAAAAAAAAAACAAAAACAATGGCGGACGGCGGGAATGACAGTGACAGTGACTCCATTAAGGCAGGAATGACAGTGACAGTGACTCCATTAACGTGTAAGTAACGTTTAATTAAAGTTTGTGGCACAGGGTGACAGATATTCTTTATTTTATTGTTATTAAGTTGTTTAAAGTGGAAAATAATACATTTAGTTCGTTGAAATGTTAACGCTAATCATTTACACAAGTTGTTTAAAGTGGAGAATAATACATTTAGTTCGCGTGTTGAAATGTTAACGCTAATCATTTACAAATGAATCACATTTTTATTGCGTTTAATGGCTTGTAGTGATGATTTTCAACATTTATATCCAGCAAAACCGTTTCATAACGTTTTAAAGGAATCTTGACTGTAACTTTAGAAAACAGAACAGCGTTTTAATGGAGAATTTAACATTATTGTAATAGTAAATAACTTCTGAAATAGAAATCTGAAATGTGCAGATTCTTTGTACACGGTGGCTGTATCTGGACTCAGCCACTTCATGTGGGTTAAACTTTAAAAAACAAACAAGCTTTGATATTTAAAAACGACATAGACACGGTCCACCTATTCCTCAGGTGCCTTGGCAGCGATGATTTGTACCAGCTGCGTCACAGGTTTTCACCATGTGCATTTCAGAGGGCCTCAGGTCCAATCATTGGGCTTCACGCCTCACTGTGGCTCTTTGAACTGTGTTCAAGGACTCCTGGTTCCACGGTAATGCACAAACGATGATGAGAAGAGGTGGATGGGTTTGTCCTCTCACTGACTCAGCAGATATGAGTGGATATAAACAGGAAGGCCAAGTCGCTGTGGAGGCACATAGACCATGGCGTGGCTGCTGAGCATCATCACCTGCCTTGGTGGCCTGTCACTGCTGCATGCAAAACCTTCAGGTGAGTACAATAACACTCTGTGTTAGTTCTGTGAAATTTAAACGTAAAAGATTATGAGGGTAAGATGAAGCTGTTAACTTCTCTATAGGTATCAGACTTTTTTTAGTAAGTCTGTGTAAAGTGAGGCTCTTCCTCAATTTCTAATGTTAATGATCATTGTGATTGGTCGTTCATACATCGTCAGTGGCCGATCTGCAGCTTTTGGTTTTTGGGGAAGTTAGTGGTTTTAAAGGTTCACACCATCACCAACCAGTCTTCATCTTAGAACATCATTCTTTTACTGAATATGTCACCGTCCTCTGATGTCTTCCAGAATATCAGTTGGAGTCAGAGCCACTGAGCCGCTGTGAGTCGCTGAGGGGTGTGGCCGTAGCCAACAAAAAAGTTGTTGTTCCCCAGTGTTCAGAGGATGGAAGTTTCAGGTATGAGTCACTGCGCTACTCTTATCGTGCCAATAAATGCATCACAGGTCAGTACTTTAGCTGTTGGTGACCAAACCACAGTCCAGTGAATGTGCCACAGGTCAGTCAATGCAGCACAGGTGACGGTGAATGTCCATAAATTATTAATTACCCCAACTGTCAGTGAACGTGCCACTGAAGTGCAGGAAAAACATCTTCTTTAGTCTAACCACTAGCATTACATCAATTCTTCATTTTACGTCATACTTTGGTGTGTGTGTGTGTGTGTGTTATCATACTTTGGTGTGTGTGTGTTTTCAGACCTGTGCAGTGCAGTGGGCGTGGTCACGAGTGCTGGTGTGTGGACGCTGCAGGTCAAGAGATCGTGGGAACTCTAACCAACAACTCTGCTCTTCACTGTGAGGGAGAAAATACATAAGACCTCATGTCAATATGTTTTTATGATTACACTTCACCTGATGTTTATTTCTTGTTCTGTTTCCTCTGTGTCCTCATCCATGTCCTCATCCAGGCCCGTCTCCATGTCAGCTCCAGTCTGAGCTGCGGTGTTCTCCTTCAGGCCAGTTTGAGTCAATTCAGTGTGATACCAACAGAGGACACTGTTGGTGTGTGGATCATGACGGCATGGAGCTCTATGGGACCAGACAGAATGGGAGACCTCAACAATGTGAGTACTTCAGCCATTAAAGGGTTATTTCAACAATTTACCCTTGTGGTCAGGTCATAAACTACAATAAAACACTGGGTCTAATAATAAAGGTCAACAGAACAGAAATGTCGTTGTCAACCTTAGCCTGTTTACTCCACCCACTTTATTGTATGATTCTGTTAGCATCCACAGACCTAATGACATCAGTGAATGTGTTTGTTTGACATGTTCAGGTCCTGGCAGCTGTGAGGTCAGAGGGAGGCGGCTCCTCCATGGAGCCTCATCCTCTATGTCTCCTCCTCAGTGTTCCAGAGATGGTAGATTCCTCCCTGTTCAGTGTAAATTTATCAACATGACGGACAAATCTGAGCTGGACCTGCTGCAAGCTTTCAGCAGGTGAACTCACACTGCCCGTCTTTATGACTGAAGTTTCAAAAGTGCAAGTCTGAGTGTGTGTGCTTGTCCTCAGGTTTCCAGAATCCTTTTCCACCTTTAGCAGTTTCAGAAAGACCTTTCCGATGGTTTCCTCATACTGTTACTGTTCCGACAGCAGAGGGCGAGAGCTGGACAACACAGGTACACACACATGACCGATGATCATAAGGATGATGATGATGATGATGATGAATATGATGACAATGATGATGATAATAACCATGATGGACTTCCATTCAGGTCTGGAGCTCCTCCTGTCGGGCGTTGACGACTCTGCCTTCCTTGGTCTTGGCTCAGTTCACTCCTTCTCTCAGACCAATGTTTACCAAGTCCTGCAGAGAAGGATGCTGGGAGTTCGTCTTGCCCTCACTGGCTTCTTCAGATGTAAACACCTCAACGCTCTTTTTAAATAGGAACTAAAACTGATTTAATGGCTCATTCCTTATAACTTTCATTCAAAAAAATATGTTCAAACTCACTTGGTTTTAAACATGATTAAAGTGCTGCACAGTGTAAACAGTGTGAACACCACCAGGTCCTACTTCCTGCGAGGAGGAGCGTAGGGCAGCAACAGCAGCAGCCAATCTTTACGTGCCTTCCTGTGAGAGGGATGGAGCCTACACTTCCAGACAATGTCAGCAGGGGGTGCAGTGCTGGTGTGTGGATGCTACAGGAAGAGAGATTCCGGGAACCCGACAGCTTGGAGATTCACTGGTCTGCAGTAAGTTTTCTGGAAACTTCTTTCTGAGGTCAATTCCTGTAACCCGACTTTGTTTTTATCATGCAAGACTTTTTAAACCAAACCTCCCCTCTCTTCCCCTGGCTTACTCATCTTCTTGTCCTTCCTTTCCTCTCCTCTCTCCTCTTGTCTTGTCACTCCCCTTCTTCCCTTCTTTTTATGATCATCCTACTCCTCCACTTATCTTTCCTTCCTTTCTTTCACCTTTGGCTCCCTCAATTTTCTATGCTCCTCTTCATAATCCTCTTTTCTTTTCTCCTGCTGTTCTTCCTCAGGTCCCGACCAAAATTGTTTCTCTCGACGACGTCTGGCTTTGTCACAGCTCTTCTCTGGTCCTGTGGCTCCTTCGCCGTCTCTCTCCTCTTCTCCTCCAGCCTCTTGTCTGTCTCTTCTTCGGCCCCTACAGCCCCTTTTGCCTACACAGGAGAACCCAACCTCCCATCTGTCCCTCATGCTCGAGGTCTTCCATGGTCTCTTCCCTTCAGTTGGTGAAGCTTTTAAGGCTCTAGTGTCGGTCTCTCCTCACCTCCTCCAGGAGGAGCTGTTTGGTGGGGAGTTTCTGACAAGTGTAGCAACCTTTAACCTCAGTGGTGCAGTAGGGGCTCGAGGAGCCGTGGAGCTACTTTATTCTCAGAAAAATGGGGATCTGGTCCTGTCCGTGAGCCGAGCCCTGGAAGATCCAGCCTTCCTCTCCTCTGTGCGTCAAGCTCTGACGGGGCTCAGCAGCTCCCTCCGTCTGCAGGAGGTGAGAACAATGTACCATCTGGTGTTTCGTCAGAGTTGGACCTGATACTGATGTTCTGCTTTGTCTTCCAGGTTCTGACTCCTCTGCTGCATTACTGTACTGCTGAGGAGCAGAAGTACTCAGAGGCCGTTGTTGTTCCCAGCTGCACCTCCAGCGGTGCTTTCCAGGAAGTTCAGTGTCACAGCGGAGAGTGTTGGTGCGTTGATTCTCGTGGTCAGGAAGTCACAGGTTCACGTACATCAGGTCAGAGACCTCGTTGTCCATCTCGCTGCGAGAAGGAACAAGCTGCAGCCCTTAGGGTGAGGGGAAGTTTGGCTGCTGGAGCTGAACTACACATCCCAGCATGCTCAGAGAACGGCGACTTCCTGCCACTGCAGTGTGTCGGATCCCGCTGCTTTTGTGTGGACGCAGAGGGAAAAAGGACTGCCGAGCCGTCGGGGAACGCCCTCACCTGTAAGATCAGCTAACACAGCACAGACTGTTGATCCAAACTGAATGAAAACTCAACACAATTTTTTGGGGGAATCATAATCATAAATTCTGCTTTAATTTAATTAAAATATATGTTTTGATTTCTTTCTCGCTCAGGTGCAGAGATGAAGCCACAGCGTGTCTCAGGTCAGTTCTCTGTGATGATCACTCTGTTATTGGCTACTGTCCTGGTCTTACCAAAAGCAGGACTGATGAAGCTATCGTTGCAGCTGTTAGGAATCACACTGACCAAGTGCTGCCCCCTGCAGGTGCGTGCTCTGGGCTACTCTCCAAGGTGACGACCTTTAGAGAAGAGGTGAGCAGCCTTGTAGCTCTCTCACGCTCCTCCCACCTCGCTCTGGGGCTGGGTGTCCTGTTGGCTGAAGGTCTAAGTCTGACACCTGAGGAGCTGCAGCTGAGCCAACCAGAGGAGGCGCTGCATATTGGTGAAGAGCTGCTCAGTGGAACCAGAGCTGCTCTGCGATTGGCTGCTTTTTCAAGTGAGTTGCATCATGCCTAGTTAGATCAATATGACAGAAATAAATTAAAATATGCCATGATAAACATTTAAAAACCTGACAAATCTGCTGATTGTTGACCACTAATGTAGACAAACTGACTAATAAGACACAGGTCAACAACTACAATAAATCCGAAAAACATTAAGAACCAAAATTGGCTTAAGTTTTGAAATTATTTCTGCATAAATAGCTAAAAGTTTACAAGAAATGGCTATAAATGAGGAATGCTACGTCCACAATGATGTGATTATGTTGTTGTGGTGCAGCTGTTCAGATGTATCTGCATCCTCTGGGACGCTCCTACCAGCCCTACACCCCGCAGTGTGACGCTGATGGAAACTGGCTGCACACACAGTGTCACCACAGCACAGGTAAAACACACACACACACACACAGACGTGTCTATGCTTAGCTGGGAGCAGTTACACACGTGTCTGTGGTTTCAGGTCAGTGCTGGTGTGTTGATGACGATGGTGATTACATGGCTAACTCTCTGACCAGCCGCTCAGTGAAGCTGCCCAAGTGTAAGAACAGACACAGACACACACTCACAGCTCCTGCTCGCTCATTCCAGCACTTTAATCATTTTATAATTGTCTTTTCATGCTACTGAAATAACCAGTGAAAATCCCTGACATTCTCTATGGACTTGCTCTGTGTGTGTGTGTGTGTGTGCGTCCTACAGGTCCGACTAACTGTCAAAGAGCTCAGGCACACACTCTTCTCTCTGGTTGGAGGAAATCTTCAGACGTCAGCACTACTGTACCACCACAGTGTGACGAGGTGGGATCAGTCAAAAAAAAAAACACATTTTTGCTTTAATTCAATTTTCCAATAGATTTCTTGGCAACAATTATGTTTTTCAGAACGGTCGTTACTCACTGCTGCAAACAGGAGGCGCTGGAGGCTCCTGTGTAAACCCTCTAACAGGAGAGGAGATGCAGACGGCAACAAGGAATAGTGCAGAGCAGCTAACATGTATACAAACAAACAAACACACACACATACATACACACCAGCAGACACAGTAATACATTTCCTATATTCAGATATAATAAAGCTTGATTGTCTGTGTGTGTTGCCTTCAGGTCCCACTTGGTGTCAACTTCAGGGTGGTCAGTGTGACTCAGACGGACTCTTTATTCCACTGCAGTGTGATGAAACTTCCTGTTGGTGTGTGTCTGTGGATGGACAGGAAGTAGGTGGAACCAGGACACCACAGGAGACACAACTAAAACCATCTTGTGATCGTAAGAATATGTGTGTGTCTGTTTTTCTTTGTAAAGTTAAGGAACATTTCTAAAATAGCAACAACAAAAAAAACCCAACAATATTATTAAACTTTATATAAAATTAATTATTTATGTTTGTTCAGATGTACAGACTCTACATTTAAATAAAATATTAAATTTAAACCAAAGATAGTTACAAGTTAGATGTGCAACTAAAACATTTAATTTGAAAAGTCTCAGAAGCACCACCTGCTGGTTGTCTCAGGAACTATATTTCTTCTGCAGGTCCGCTGTGTCGTCCATCTCCTGGCATTAACCATGGTGCACTGCTCTGCCACACGTTGTCAGATGGTCGTCAGACCTGCGAACTGATTTGTCACCATGGTTACCACAACACACTTCCCATCAGCAGCTTCCTCTGTGACACAGAGAGTCAACAGTGGGTTGGAGACTTTACACCCGTGGGCGGAGCCTGTCAGAGTATGAACTGCTAACTATTTTTTTTTTTAACTTTTATGATTTACAGCTCTACTGCATAAGAAGCAGTAACATGAATCAAAGAACATCGCAAACTTTTAACTATAATCTCAGGTCTGTTTTTAAGGACTCACTAGTTTTTAAAAACTAGATATGTCATCATTATACATATAGAAACACAAATCCTCCTGCTGGTGGACAAATGCCATTACAACTATGACATTTTCTGATCTGTTGCAATTCTTTTTTTTTTTTTAAATCGATGAAAAGAGCTCTTTTCTTGTGTCATACATTTTTCACCTGCATCTACTTGTGTGTGTGTGTGTGTGTCCAGTCTCTCAGCCTCTGCAGGTGCTGTCTCATTCTCAGCTCTTTTCCTTGTCGTCGCCCTGCTCTCAGATCAGCACTTTGCAGCCTCTTCTGGTACGCTCTTTGACCAGCCTGGGCCTCTGCTCTATGCAGGTAAACACGACAGTAGAGCTTTCTGTAAATTCCGCAGATGAGTTTATCCTGTCCAGGTAAAGGCATGAGGTAAATAAAAAAACTCTGTGGTGTTTGTTTTAGCTTCCCGTGTCGACCTCCTCAGTGCTGGTGTGCGACCAGTCGTCTGTGCATCTCCAGTGTGATAGTGACCAGTCTCTGAAGTTGACCGTCACGTGGAGAGTCGCTTTCTCTGACGTTCCAACGTCTGACCTTCCTCACCTCCATGATATCGGTGAGCAGTGACTAATGATCAGACTTCGGGAATTCATAGACAAAACAAAAAACACAAAACTGCAAAAAATAAGAAACTCACATATGGTTTGTTTTCATCTACAAACACTTGATGAAAACAGGTTTTGCAGCAACTTTTTAAAAAAATTACCAGCAGTAAATCTTTTTGGGTCTCTGTCAGTGCTGTACATCGAAACCACAGACTTACTGTATGTCCAGGTCAAAAAAAAGCAGTAAATCTTTTTCGATCTAAATCTGTCAGTGCCGTACATCAAGACCACAGACTTACTGTATGTCCAGGTCAAAGGTCAGATTATTGGTTGACAGAGATAAAAACTAAGTGCCTTCTTTTTTTTTCTTTTTTTTTATCAATCATGATTTTGGCTTGGTCATTATTTCAATGTTCTTCTTATGACAGTTCTGTTCCTGAATGAGTCCAGACTTCTGGAAGGAGTCCAGCAGCTTTTGGGTAACATCAAGTCCACACTGGTTTCCACAACACCTCCCATCTTTGGCTGTTCCCATGGTTACCATCTGACCAATAACAGTGAAGGCTGCCGTGAGTCCCTGTTTCTTTTTCTCTCTGTGTGTCAGTTTGTAAAAAAAAAAATGAGTGAGATTTTACTTGGTCTCTCTGGTCGCAGTTGTTTGTCCCGCGGGCACCTTCGCCACAGAGGGGGCGTGTCTTCTGTGTCCACCTGGGACTTATCAAGATGAAGAGGGGAGGAGCCAGTGCAGCAAGTGCCCCACAGGGTCTTCACCTGCTGGAGCAACATCTGTCAATCAATGTAAAAAAAACAAAAAAAAAAACACAAACACACAGACACTCGGACAAACACAGATTGACTTTAAGTTTGTGTGGATCAGGTGTGACCGAGTGTCAGAAGCGAGGCATGCGGTGTTCAGAGCGAGGCGACTTCCTGTCAGCACAGCCTGGCCTGTCTGGAAGGTGGAGGTGTTTGAGCAGCGAGGGGGTGGAGCTTGAGTGGACCAGTAGTGACAAAGCGCTGACTGATGAGGAGTGTACAAGTAAGAACGTGGCAGCGAATCAGAGAGCAGCTTAAAGTTGAATATTGAACGTTCTGTAATGTGTACGTGTGTGTGTGTGTGTGCCACAGTTTTCATCAGTGTCCAGACTGTTTCTGGTTCAGATTTAATCCTTGGTACTGAAGATGTTGAGCTTCTGCAGACGATCACGTCAGATCTGAAAGGCTGCATCCAAGGTCAAATTAAACATTAATTTGAATCGTATTAAAAGTTGTGCTCACGCTCTCACACCAAAGTCCATGGAGAAAATCAGTGAATTCATCTCACAGCACAAGTTATTGTTCATTGTTTGGAAAACCTTTTGTTAAAATGTGCCTCATGAACTACCTGACCACAGGAGGCAGCAGTGGACCAGCAGCTCCTGTCTGTCTTTGAGCTAAAGACAATGAGTTTCTATGGACTTTGGTGGTAAACCCAGTCATCTTTGTCACTTTGTCTTGAAACACTGATTTTATTTATTTATTTATTTTTTAATCCACAGCCTGTGCAGCAGAGCCGTCCTGCCACCATGTAGCGCTGTTTGACAGTCAGACTCAGTGTGAACTGTACAGCACACAGACACTGAACACACAGTGCGTCACCTCTCAGCAGGTAGACAGACACACAGACAGTGGAAAAACTGAATATAATTTTGAATTATCCTTAGGACCTAATGAAAATTTAAACTTTTTTTATTATTATTATTTCTTCTTTAGACCAAAGGGTTTCTGGATAATCCTGAGGCCGAGGTCTTTGATTGGGTCCACTGCTCTGTGAAAGTGAGGGGCAGTGCTTCAGACCTGCTGGTTATTAGAAAGAAAGGTACAAAATCGTGACGCCACAGTGTCGCCGTCAGCAGCACCTTTGTGTTTAATCCTGGCTGTGGGGGTGTGTGTTTTCAGGGGAGGGGTCATCCTCTACTTTTGTGAGGTCACCGATGATGAAGGCGGTTTCTGGAGTGTTCAAGACTCAGATGTTCTCGTCCACAAGGACCACTTTGACGGACGCCTATCGTTTCTGTCAGGACGGCTGCAGCCAGGACTCCTGCTGTGAAGGCTATGTCCTCAACCAAATCATTGTTAACGGAGGTGCGTTAGCGCAAAAGGTTTTAATTAACCTGCAGATGACAAAACGTGACCTCCTTATCTGCCCGCCCTTCAGGTTTTCATTTGTGTGGTTGGCTGAGTTCTCCATCAGTCCTGATGTGTGGGAAGGGTGACTGGGACGTGATTGGACACGGAACGGCCAATCGTATCTGTGGGGCAGGACTCACCTACAATGAGCAGCAGAAGAGCTTCCTGTTTGACTTCGGTGGTCAAACGTTCAACATCAGTAAGAGAACGGGACTAAAAACAGATTCTGCTCTGATTTTACTACAGAACTCTGATTGTACAATGGTCACATTCTGAATCTGTCCTGATTCCACTGTATTCTGATTCCACTCTGACTCTGACAAACCGATTATTCTAACTCCAGCCCATTTCTTAAATAATTCAGTGTGAATGTTAAAGTGGTTCAACCTTCACTCTATTTAGAAATGTCTTTTTCTTCTTGGTTCTGAACCAAGAGAAGTTTTCCTCATATCCTACTCTGATGGTCTTCTAATTCCTTTCTTGACTCCTCTCTGACTTCTAGGATAATTATGTCATAATTTACTGGCACTTGTTTTAATCCTGCTTTGTCACTGACTTATCCATTAGTCTCCTCTTTTTTTTTTTTTTCTAGCGGACTCTTCTCTGCCGTCTGATTCAAAGAACAAAGACTACCAGTCATCCATCGTTAGTTTCCAGGGCATTTATCTGAACACAGGTATGTCACATTTGACCTCTGGCCTCAGTCACCTAACCCTGCCTCATCTTCAAAGTGCTGTTCTAGGGGTGCAGGGCTTCAGCAGCAGGTCTTCTATTGTCACTGTCAGCAGCAGATTAACCTGTGTGTGTGTGTGTGTTAGGTTCTCCAGTTTCTGGTTCTCCTTTGTCCTGTGCAGCAGCAGAACCATCTTCTCCCCTGGATGGTTTGTATCACATCTCAACTTTATTCATTTTTTTCATGTTACATACACGTTATTTCAGCTGTTTGCCCTGAATTTACTGTTACTGTTGGTTCAGGTGTGACATAAAAGGCAGCAAAAACATCTCAGCTAGCTAGAAAAAAAGCCAAAATTAACTTAAAATGTGTGTGTGTGTGTGTTCAGGTACAGTGCACAAGAAATTCCGATCTGTACCAGAAGACGACGTGGTCGTCGACCCTCACAAGAAACTCTCTGCTCTCAGATTCTTGCTCAACAAAAAGTCCTTCAACTCCCAACATGCTTTGCTCTGGTGTCTGACACGTATGTGCACCGTTAGCAGGAAGCAGTTACGTTTGTCAAACACACATCGTTCCTGTCGTTTTATTGTGTGTTTGTGTGATGTGATGCAGGCTGTGATGCTGAGTCTCTGTGCGCCGTCGCTGACCTCACAGAAGCTGAAACAGCAGGTTTCTACAGCTGCTCCCTGTTTCCTGACACACGGGTCTGTGGCGCCTACGACAAACCGCTGAGGGCCGCGTGTCGCCTCCTGTTGAACAGAGCGCCCAACAACACCCACATCAAAAGAGGTGCGTGTTTGTATAAGATGTGTTTAATGTTGTCTTTTTACACATACACACACACAAAATTCTATACAGACATAAGGTAATAAGATGAAGATTTTAAATACATTTTTGTGCAGAAACAAAACAAAACAAAAAGGCAGCATTAGCTAAAATGGTTTGTTTGTGTGTGTTTCAGTGGAGCCAAAAAAAAGGCAGCATTAGCTAAAACGGTTTGTTTGTGTGTGTTTCAGTGGAGCTGTCGGGACCAGTGAAGAGCTTCTATCAGAGGATTTCCTTCCAGAAGTTTGATTCTTACAGCGTCCGCAGTCGAGTGTCGCTGGGAGAAAATGCCCCACTGACACAGGGGTCAATAAAACATATACACACACACACACCAACACACACATGAACACAGGTCAAAGAATGTTTTTTGTAGGTCAACAAAGAGAGAAAATCTAAGTTAAATCTTCTGTCAAACCAAGTCCTGATTTAGGAAATCTTCAATTCCTACTCTTCCAAAATGATTTGAGATTATCCACAATCATCATGACAGTAATAACCGTGTATGTGTGTTTTCAGGTTCAGGGAGTGTGAGCGTCGTTGTGATGAAGATCCTTGTTGCCGTGGTTTTGGATTTGTCCGAGACGCTAAATCTCCAGGTAACTGTGTCATCTACACAAACACTCACACACATTCACACACTCGTGCAATAAGAAGTCACGTGCAGTAATTGCTCCGTGTAGTATTTGCCTTGTGTCCATGCAAGCCAATTGACTGTCTGTTCTTCGTGTGTGTGTGTGTGTGTTTTTGGGGTAGGTGGAGCCAAGGTGGTGTGTGTGTCCCTGCTCAGCCTGGGCGTCCTCACCTGTGATGAAGCCTCAGAGAGCAGCTGGAGACGTCAGGACTGTGCTCCGCCTGCAGTCCTCAGTTCTCCAGAACCATTTGGATGGTTCCTAAAACCTGGTACTTCATCAATAACCACAGTGACACCTCTGTCTTCTCTTGTCTTGTCTTGTCTTGTCTTGTCACTGATGTCTGTCTGTGTTCCAGTCCAACAGTGGACTTCTGCTCCCGCTCTTTGTCCTGAGTTTGGTCTGACAGCCCCCAACGGTAACCACATTTAATCTCAGATTATTGCAGATTTTTGCTCACACAATTTCATACAACCCAAGATTATTCTAAGACATCAAATTAACTTCAAATAATCCAACCTAATCTCATATCATCACACAGATTTATGTTAATCAACCCAGTATAATCTCACATCAAAACACTGATTTAATCCTGCAATAATTAAAACGTGTGTGTGTGTGTGTAGTGTCTCTGTCCAAATGGCGTCTTCTAGACGAATCCTCTGTCCTCGTGGACCCTTCGGTCTCCACCTATGATGTCATCCACATCAGCAGTGACATCAGTGGAGACCAGGACAAAACAAGGAACTGGTGTCTCCACGGTAATCACACACACACACACACACACGCCAACACACACGAACATCTGATGGACCATGATTCACTTGTATGTGTCCACTTTCCATCAGCCTGTCAGGAGGCGGAGTCATGTGTGGCCGTGTCCCTCAGTGAGGGACAGTCGGGCGTCCGCTGCGTCCTCTACCCGGATACCACGACTTGTGGACTAAGCTCCTCCCCCCACTCCTCCCAGTCTACATCTTCCTGCAGGCTGTTGCTCAGAGAACCTGCTGATACCGTTTACCTCAGGGCAGGTGGGTTCATTAGCCCCACTGTAAGTTAAGCGTTCGATTCCCTCCAACTTCATTTATCGGTTTGTGTCCTTCAGATCGCCCCCCTGTGGTGACCACTGTGTCCATCCCGGGTAATGGACTCCTGCAAGGCTCCACTGTGGAGACGTGGCTGGGCTCTGAACAAAGAACGGTGGTCCAGTTCCTGGGTGTGCCCTATGCCCGTCCACCAACCTCCTCACTCCGCTTTCAGAATGCTCAGCCATTTAACTGGACAGGAACCTGGGACGCCACAAAACCACGGTAAGACCTAAAATCTATAAGAGCAAGAGTAGCTAACGTTAGCTATCAAGTCAACAGCCAAAAAACTGTATCTCATACTAGAATGAAAAAACACAAGCTATTGAATAAACAATAGCGAAATGAGCTAATGCTAACTATTCAGATCAAATGGTTCGACTAGTTTTAACTTCAACAACAACAGCAAAAATTAAAATTTGTACCTCCAGCTGATAAGGAAGGTGTAGCTTGGGGTGGGGCATCTATTACATCTGATTACATTTGAATTTGTTTGTTTTCTGTTACATCACTTCCTGTTTGCATGTCCAGTGCCACCTGTCTGCAGCCAGGGGACACAACGTCCGACTCGTCCAGTGAAGACTGTCTCTACCTGAACATCTTCTCACCTGCTGCTCGGGTGAGTGATCTGGAGATCCAACCACACTGAAGATGTCACTTCCTGTTTGTAGACTGGACCTGTTACATCATGATTTTTCTAACACCCTGTATGTCAACGTGTTGTGGTGGATGTAACAGAGGGGGAATGTCCCAGTCCTGGTCTTCTTTTTCAACCCTTCAGCAAATCCGAGCCCTGCGTTGCTTCACGGCTCCACCCTTGCTGCAGTGGGCAACATCGTGGTGGTGACGGCCAGCTATCGAACAGCAGCACTGGGATTCCTGAGCACCGGTAAACACATGCGTGTTCAGACACACATACAAACACACACACACAGCTGTTGGACTGTTTCTGACTGATTTTAGCCGTGACTTCACTGTGGCGGTCTTCAGGTGACGCTCATCTCCGTGGTATGTACGGGCTGTCGGACCAAGAGGCCGTGCTTCGATGGGTCCATGCCCACATTGCTCTGATGGGCGGAGACAACAGCAGAGTGACTGTGGGGGCGGAGCGCGGCGGCGCTGACATCACCAGCCTTCACCTGCTGTCGTCGGCGTCGTCTCTGTTTCACAGGATGATCCTGATGGTGAGGATAATCCTTTAGTCATGTGACAGTCAGGCTTGTTAACCATCAGCTATTTATCACAGGAGCAACACAGAAAATGTATTTGTATGTGGAATTTGATGAAGTTTTTTTTTTAATTTCATGTCCTTGTCCTCCTGTGTTGTCATCCTTACCTCTTCTGTTTTTATATTTCTTATTCTCTTCTTCTTCGTCCTCCTACTTCTATCTTGTTTGTTCTGGTTTTTTTTTGTGTTTTGTTTTATGTACAGTGTCCTTGGCTCCTGTGTTGTCATCCTTACCTCTTCTGTTTTTATATTTCTTATTCTCTTCTTCTTCGTCCTCCTACTTCTATCTTCCCATTCCACCCTTATCCCTCACTTTCTCCCTATTTTCTCCTCTCCCCTCCTACAGGGCGGCTCCCTCTTTTCTCCCTCCTCCGTTTCTTCATCCTCCTCCAGTCTGGTGATGGATTTAGTGTCAGAACTTGGCTGTGTGAGTTCAGATCCCTCCGTCATCTCCTCCTGCCTCAGAGCCTTGTCGGCTCAGACCCTGAATGAGGTTCAGACAAAGGTTAGAAAGGTCACAGCCTGTGTCAGTGCCATTTCAGTGAGTCAGTCACTGCATTCTCTGACCTCTGACCTCTGCTTTTGACAACACAGCTGCTGGCTGTCAGCGGCCCATTTCACTCCTGGTCACCACCCCGTCAGTCCACACTCCAGGTACCGTTGTCGACACTCAGCAGAGTGGACCTGCTGTTGGGGACATCAGAGCAGGATGGGCTGATCGGTCGAGCCCGCAGAATCAAGGTCAGGTTTTCCTGTCTGTTTTTCCTGTTACTCACAGCACAGACTGAGGAACTCTGATGTTAAACAGGATTTTGAAAAAAAAATTCTAATCATAGGCTTTTTTTTTTTTTTTAAATGTGCAGGACTTTGAGGCTCTTCAGGGTCGTGTGAACGGGAAAACGGCATTTTATGAGGCGCTGAGTCGCTCACTGGGTGGAGAGACAGGAAACCCGCTGCTGAAAGAGGCGGCTACTTGGTTTTACTCCTTGGATCACAGTCCAACACCACAGGGCTATAGCCTGTTTTCTAGATCGCTCAACAACGCCACCAGGTGTGTAGCAGCAATAATACTCAATGTCTTTTTGCAGAGACAAAAAGACTTTGTTTATCCATCATTATTTGTATAAGAAGTAAAAGATACAGAATGTGCTCATCCAGCAAACAGTTATAATACATTGTGTTGTTTTACAGGGATCTGTTCATTACCTGCCCCAGCCTGCAGATGGCAAACTTCTGGGCTAAGAACAGCCAATCTAATGTCTTTCTGTATCACTTGCCAGCCTCCACCATGAATGACAGGTGAAAATCAATGTCCCAGTTTTTCTTTTATGAATTTTATTTGATGGAATGAAAAGTTCATCCAGATATTTGATCGTTTGGTTCTGTCTGCAGAGCCGACGTCTTTGTTCCTTTGGATGTTCAGCTGGTGTTTGGAGTTCCTCATCAGCCAACCAGTTATCAGCGTTTCACTTCATCTAACCGCCGCCTCTCTCTGGCCATGATGAGCTACGTTGCCAGTTTCGTAAAGACTGGGTGAGACCACACCCACAATCCCCTGCAACATTACATATTTTTATATCCATAATTTACACTGTAAACATTTTGAGTAGAGTATAATGTCGTGCATTAAACTAATTCTTAACTAATTGTTTGTCTTGGTGAAATTAAAAAAAAAAAAAAAAAATCCCAGAAACTCAAATCCATCGAAGAAGTGGGCGGAGTCATCACTCCCACGCTGGCGAGGGGTTCAATCATTTGAAGACTCACCCACTTACCTGGAGCTGAGCCCCTCCCTAATGAACCGACAGGGTCTGCGTCAAAGAGCCTGTTCTTTTTGGAATCACATGAGGACGAAACTGAGCAGAGAGAATGGTACGAGAACACAATGCTGCCCCCTGCTGACTACATTTTAATGTCTCGTTCTGTCACTTTGAACAAAGTTCTGTTAATTGAAACAAACAAACTGTCTGACCTCTAATTTCTGCTTGTCTGTTTTTTTTTCTATCTTCAGTTGCTCTTAAGGTGGACTCTTTCAGAACTGACCATGTACCAAAATCCAGATCGTTTGTGTCGTCAAGGACGACCTCATACTGAGGCCTAAGAAAATACAGAGATGAAAATACACACACCCAACATTGACTGATCTGCTAGGCATATTTAACTCTGAGAATAATCCCTGACACAGACACTACAATGGTGAATAAAGAGCAACATTAAAACCAATTTTGTCTGTTTGTAATTTTACACAACGTCAGAAAACAGAAGAGAAGGAGAAATGTGAAGAGGAGCAACTTTGAGGAAAAAAGGAGGAATGTGAAGCATAATGTGAAAGGAGGAGTAGGATGAAGGAAAGACAACTGAGAGGAAGAGAGAGGAAAGTTGGATGACGACAAGAAAAACAGAAGGGAGAAAATGAAGAAAATACCAAAAATGCAGAAGGAGGTGAAGGAGAGGAAAAGGAGAAAAGAGGATGAACACGAGGGGCAAAAACACTGGATGGAAAGAATGAAAACTGTTAGTAAAGAATCTCCTAACGGAATAAAAAGGAGCCAACTGAGAAAAGGGAAGAGCAGTGATTCAGTGAGGAAGGAGAGGAGCTAGAAAGTGTGGTAAAAGAGAACAAACTGGAGAGAATGAAAGGAGGTGGCCTTTTTATTTGACCATACAACATAACTTAGAAATAAACGTGAAGCAGGAAAGTGAGTCATGAACATGTGAGAGAGATGGAACCCTCTGCTCCTCCTCCTCAGCTCCTCCTCCTGCACCCCCTCACCTGGGAGGCAGGTGCGAGTATAAAAGAGTCTTTCTACTAGTGGAACCAGACTCCTTCTCAGGCTCACACTCACATCTTTGTTTCTCCGGACTCTGAAGTTTCCTGCTCAAAGATGGAGACTGTGTTGGTCCTCCTGCTTCTCACTGCTGCCTCCTCCTCGTCTTCTTTGTCAGGTAAAGAAAATACACTTGTTTCTTTTGTTTCATATAGTAAGTAGTTTTAAAGATCAGTAAGTTACAGCTGAGCAACGTGAATCAGATGTGATGTCACAGACATTCAGCAGTGCAGAGTAGAACCCATGTTTTATTTTACCTCAGCCAACAGTTGTGAGGTTGCTGTTTTTGCACTTGAAGATCCTGGAAACTGAACTCCAGGAAATGGTCGGCAAAAATATATTTAGATTAAAGATGTGATAAATAAAGTTTGGTTTGGCCAGCCATAGATGACTAAAAGTCTTTGCCAAATAGTTCTTTATTTTCATCCCACAATAACGAAAATCAAAATAGTGAAAAGTAGCCGAAAGACAATTGAATGGTTGGAGAGTCAGAAAAGGTGAGAAAAACATTCAAAAGTAGTTGAAAGAAAGAATGCCAAATGTAAAAGTGCCGTAACACGAACTCACCCATAATACAAACTCACCACAGGAGGCAGCAGTGAACCAGCAGCCCCTGTGTCTCGTGCTCATAAATCAATAATTTTATCAATGGACTTTGGTGGGGGAGACAGAGTGAATGTGTCACAGTTTAGAAATGTAGACACGCCCTTTCACAATAGTATGACTATAATAATGACTTCTGTTTACTGTCGATAGTCAGGGTTGACGTCACATCAGTTGCTACTGTTTCCATGACAACTGGTACGCCAGTGGTCACCTCCAACACCATCAACGTGACCACTGGCCTCACAACTTTGGCCAATGGATCAACCTCAGCTGCTCCGCCCATTTCCACGACCTCCTTCAGTAATACAACCAACCAGATGTCAACCCTCAACTCCACCATGGCTCCACCCACCGTCTCCTCCAACACAACCACAGACGGAAACTCGACGGCAAGCACGGGCCCGACATCTTCCAGTTCTAGCACCACAAACAGTGGCAACGGTACTCTGACAACGTCCACAGGCGTGGACACCAACAGCTCAACAGTCAGTCAGCCAATCACATCGTCACAAAGCACCAGCAGCACTCCAGGAGGAGGAGGAGGGGGTGGAGGTGTCCCCGGGTGGGGCATCGCTCTGTTGGTTCTGGCTGCTCTGATTCTGCTGATGCTGCTGCTGCTGCTCATTGGGCTGGTGAGACACACACACACACACACACACACACACACACAGACGGGTTATATATGACAAATATAAAGTAGAGTTCATCCAGTCACGGCTGGTCTCTGGTTTCATCTTCACAGCTGGTGTGGTACTGCTGCTGTAGGGGGCGCAGCAAGACGTTCAGTCCTTACGAAAACCTGAACCCCAAAGACAACATCCCCCTGTACACCACCCACAGCCACTTCCAGGGACCCAACGGTAAATCCTACGTGAGTTCAAAAGTCGTTGCAAAAACAGCCGTGTTGTAGCTACTTTAGCTAACGTCAAGCTACAGTAGCCTTTGTGTGTGTGTGTGTGTGTGTGTGTGTTTTACAGTCAAATATTGACTCACATGAATGACATTTACAAACAAACCATCAGTCATTTTAAATCAGTGTTTGGCTGATTAGGTGAAAGCTATGCTTTCACACACACACACACACACACACACACACACAAACTATGCAGCAACACTGTAAATCATTAGTGTCTGTGTTGGACCTAAAGTGACTACGACTGTACGTTAGTCAGTAAATAGACCTGAACAGCCTTTACTAACATCTGTGAAATGTTTATTATATTATAACCTATGCTATAACGTTTATAGACAATTATTATTAATATATCAATGTAATTAACCTCTTCATAACATTTGATTATTTTTAATTGATATGCTTTAATTAAAATGGATGGTGTTTTATTTATATACAGTGTAAACAATACTTTTATTATCATTAACAGCTAAGTTCTTGACTTATACTGTAATACAATTCATTCATACACAGATATTTAGTAAGTATTGTCCACAGTATTTTCTGCTAAAAACTCTTAGTTTTTGGTTTGTATTTCAGGAGGAATTTGACCAAACCATGAGGGACCGCTCTGGTCTTTACACCGTGAACCAGTGAAGGTTCCAGGAGTTCAGTCTTCGTCCAGGAGTTCAGTCTTCGTCCAGGAGAGACGACGTGACACGAATGAACCAAGAAGCAGAGACAGGTGTTTGTGCAGATGTTTAATTTAGACACATTGATCTTTGACATGAAAAAAACAAACATCCACTACATTAAATTAACATTGTTGAATTATTTACATTCTAATTTAATTAAAATCATATTGTAACAAGAAGTGATTTTTAAATAAAAAAACCAAAAAAACAACCATAACATAAAATAGGCTTTGTCTTTTTTTCCTTCACGCTCATTGTTAAACAACATCACATCACTGGGTTTTTACTCTCTGCTGTGTTTGGTTCAAGTCTCAGAGAAGAAGAGTATGATGGTCACAGTGATGAAGATGAGGAGGAGGAGGAGGAGTGTGTGTTCAGATGAGTGTATATTCTATGCTTTTACTGACTCACTGTTCTCAGGAAATGTCAGATGAATGTGTAAACACCAGCCTGGTCCACGTTGTTCTTATTCTGGATCTGAGAAATTAATTCAAATGCACACTTTCTGAAACTAAACTCTGTGTGTGTGTGTGTGTGTGTCGTTGTGAACTTAACTTAAACTTACATTTTTTTCCAATCTTCCCGAGATCTTTGACCTTTGACCTGGGTAAAGAATGTGAGGACCAGCCCTTCTGACAACTCCCTCCTGTGTGGATGCTGGTGACGTATGGACCAATCAGTGGCCAGACTGAGGACTTGATCTGTGTAAGTTATAATAATTGTCCTGACGCCAGGGTGTGTGGGTTTTGAATGATTATCTGTGATATACGTGTGTGTGTGTGTGTGTGTGAGGGTGCGTCATTGAAGTTTATTTTTTCAGGGCTGGACTCTGTTGACTTTTACTTTTATCTGAGTTTTCATATGGGTGCGGTGGGCGGGGCCTGTTCACGTTTTATCATAATTTCATTTTTGAAGTATTTCTCATGAACTCTCGAACAAACACATAATGAGGCAACAATTACGCTTTTTTTTCTTGTATTTATTCTTGTGTTTATTTAAAAAAAATAACACTTAAATTTAAAACGTGATCCTGATTCAGGTCAAGGTCTCATGTCTCAGATTTGAGACTTCGCAGCCACTGCTCTAGGGCCACCTTGGTCCCAGTGCTGACCCGCTCCACATCTGGTCCACTGATTGGAGCTCGACGAAGCAGAACAGACAGAGGCAGAGTAGCTTGACTGAGAGCGCCACCTGTAGACACCACTGACACACTGAGAAAAAAACACACAGACGTGGTTCAGAATACAGAGTTCATCTGTGGACTTTGGTCTGTGCTAGAGGTTATAGTGATTTTGAACTGTTAAAGTTAAAGCAGCGTCACCGTGGTTACCTGACACTGGTTGGCAGTTTCTCCGCTGCTACGCCCTCCTCATCCTTCTCCAAACCTCCATCTTCTCCGTCCACCGCTGACACCATAGCTCTGGCCAGCCCAGCGTCGGCCCACAAACAGGCACTGACCTCAGCAGGAGACGGACTCAGGGAGGACTGAAGAAACAAGAGATGAAGCAGAGGTAAGAGACTGGGGAACTGGAGCGTCCAGCAGGGGGAGCCAAAATCAGAGCTGACGTGACCTGGAGCTGCAGGTGAGACAGGGGGGAGCAGATCAGCAGGTAGACCACGATGTGATGTCTGAGAGGAAGTCCTGAGGACAGCAGTGGAGGGTAGACCGACTGACACACACACACACACACACACACACACACACAGATTAAATAACAATAAACTGAGAAGCTAATTCTAAGATGTTTTCAGGTAAAATGTGTTCATATGTTTTAAACCAATGAATGTTTTGTAGTTGATTTTACATAAACATTGTTTTTACATCTTTGACTCACCTCCCACAGAACCAGAACCTTTGGACAAACAACCTCTGGATCCAGACTCAGACCAGTTTCTTCCTTCAGTTCTCTGAGACCTGCAGCTAAGAGCTGGACACACACACGTACACACACGTACATATATACTTTGAGTCACTCTAACCTGTTTATCTGGCTAACTATTAGTTGTTAGTTTTCCTAACTTTATTTTTATAGTTAATATCAATAGCAATGTCTACTAGAAGAGGAACTTTTACCGTCTCGTCAGGTTCCAAATGTCCACCTGAAAGAACAAAAAAGACAACAGTGAGGACTCGGTCATTGATTATTGTCACAATCTCACTGAACCTGAACAACTCACTGTTCCAGAACAAAATCCACAAAGAAAATCAGTGGTTTTAGCTCACAGAGACCCAACAGATGTTGATCCACTGCTACTTAGATCAAACTCTTTAGTTCAGATTTACTTCAGTGACACAAACGGACCACAGGAGGTCGCAGTGGAGCAACAGCAGCTGCAGCTGCAGTATGGCAGAGTGAGTGTTATCACTAACAAAGTTTCCTTATGGACACGAGCCAGACCTGGAGGAACCCAGACGTTGGGAAAGATTCTGAGCTGCTTCGCCCGTCGTGTCAGCAGAACCTTCTGATTGGCTGATTGCAGTAGAATGGCCACACCCACATCCACTCCACGATTCTTGATTTCCAATGGCAGGGCAGCTGTCTCTTTGACAGACAGGTGTTTGATGGGACAGAAGGCGGGTCTCTGGGTAAGGACATGGAGGTTAAAGGTCAGGGTTAAATGAGATTCAACAGATCTTTAGGAATTAAATCCTATCCTGGGATTATGGGTATTTCATGTTAAAAAGAGGGTGTTGAAGCGGTACCTTCAGTGAGACTCCTGCTCCTCCATCTCCTTTGAACAGGATGAAGCGATTCTCCTCCAGAGAAAATTTCACCTTCACTTCATCATCGGCTCCTTCAGTGAAGAGACTGGTCACACTCTGAGGAAAGAGGAGAAGAAAAACCCTCTGAGCTCCAGTTTCTGTGGAACATCATCTCCAGACTGAAGCTCTGACCTGGACGAACTGAGCTCGCTGTGGAGTAGACTGGTCTTTACAGATGTAAACCAGGATCCTCCTGACTTTATCCATCCTCCTCCCAGGTGCCTTCCCCTGGCCTCGGGTGACCACCAGGGACTTTGTTTGAGCTGAGAACACAAGGACAAACCGAGGGAGCAGTTTAACGGAAATTCACCGCCGATAAAAAAGTTTTATGGTGTGTTTTATTTGTTTTTACTGATCGGCAGTTTATGTCTGTCTCGGTCGGATCCAAATAATCAGTGACTACTGATTGTTTATGTCTATCTCGGTCGGATCCAAATAATCAGTGACGTAACAAGCGTTTTTGATAGTTAACGATGAAACTTCATCGTTAGCGTCAAAATAACCAGCTAGCAGATGTCTTTACTTACACTCGACATCATTTTTAAAGACTGAAGTTATCTATTATTTTTTATATTTCAAGACAATCGACAACTTAATAAACGTCAAATATTTTCATTTACCTAAAGCTCAGCCACGAAACAAGGCAACCGAAAGTAGGAGAAAACATTAACACAATGATTTTCTCATTCGAAAATGTCAATAAAGATCTAAATTTTAAAAAAAGAATGAAATAAAATAGCGAGAGTTGTGTTCTTAGAGCGGACAACTGACGTAAAACACGGGAGGAAGTGACGTTAAATGGTGCGTTCATAAACATCCGACATTCGAGTTCGACTTCCTAATTTCAAACGTTTTAGAACAGTTAAAAAATAGAGTGTTGTTCACTTTTATTATAATGAAAATTATAATACAATCTGCTTCTAATTTTATGGACCACATTTTTCTTTAATTCGTTGTATTTAAGATACTCTCCAAGAAACGATAATTTCTCATTTTCTGACGGAAGGTAAATGCCACACACGCGCCAAAGGCGGGCTATTTAAAAATAGGTTATATTTTGTTTGAAAGAAAAATGTAAAGATAAGTATTTAAGATGTATATTTTTAATCAGGTTTAGCAAACATGCCTTACAGTAACATCACAATGTATCTGCATGTAGTTCTCTATGTGTGTTTATAGTTTTTCTCCAGGTACTCCAGCTTCCCCCCAACAGTCAAAATATTCAAATTTGGATTATGTAAACACACAAACTGCGTGGATGTGGATGTTAACGGTTGTCTCTATCTCTGTATGTTTCTAGTGATTATCGTTACATCCTGCGCCCGGTAACTGCTGGATTGGTTCTGCTTTCGTCGCTGGAGGATGAAAGTCCAAGTCAACCCGGTGTTGAGGGTGAGTCGCCGTTAGCTTCGATGCTAAGTCCGTTTTAGCTCTTCGATAACGTCATTAGGAATTGTCAATTGAGACATTATTTTGAGATGAACGCCAAATAAAATAATGGTTTTAAACAGAATCCATGAGTTGGACCGTGCAGGTAAACCGCCCAGTGGCTGTCCATCCAGAGCATTCATTTTCAATGTTGTTAAACTAAATTTTTTTAAATAGAAAAAGAAATAAGTCACATGATCACATAATAAACCTTTTATTAACAACACTCGCTGTTGTTCAAAGCCATAATTTTATATGAAATACAAAGTTAGTTCAAAACCAGTCACAACTTCATTTCAGTAAAACCTTGGCCCCGCCCCCTCAGCCCTCCACCTTCTCAGGTTCACCGACGTACATCAGTTGTTGTTCCGGGGCGGGGCATAGAGGTGCCGACGCGGTGCTTACGATTCGATTGGAGTCTTCACCCTGCTTAAAAAAAGAAAAAACATGATCTGAGCCTGTTCTATCAGAGAGCAGAGGTTAAAAGGTCAAGATCTTACCTCAGGACTTATGTCCAACATGAAGCATCCACCAATCAGAATTGTAGCCAGACTGAGCAGAGTTTGAACCATGAAGATGGTGAGGAGAACAGCCAAGATACCCCCAACCAGAACCTGGAGGCATTCAAGCAACTGGATCAGTGATCAGCTCAGAACAATTGGACCTTTATTTGGTCTTTGTTCTAAAAGCATCAAATTAAAGTTTGCATTAATCTTCAGTTTTAACCATAGAAACTGGAAACTTTGTTTTGGTTTGATGAGCTTCACCAACAACGCAGTTGCATCTCTAGCAGTTATCCAGTAGGGGGGGCAACTCTCAGTTTTAGTAGCACAGGCCCTGCAAAAGACTCCTCTAATCATTGTCCAGGTCTTCTGAGGTGTCACCTGAACTCACCATGGTCTCATTGGATGTGGACACCGAGGAACAGTTGTAGCGAGCAGAGACACTGTATCCGCAGTAACGATCATACTTGTATGGAACATGCCGGACAAAGTACCCAAACGCCACGGCAGAGAACATGACACAGGGGAGGTGAAAGGTCACGGTGTACCTCACCTGCAGACACACACACACACACACACACACAATGGTCTTAGTTTTCTTCTTTTCTTCTCATTTTCATGAACTTGTCTTAGTCTCGGTCACGACTCTGGATTTTGTCTCTGAGGATTCTTATTGTCTTGATTTCAGTTGCATATATATATATATTTGCACTACCAGTACTAATATCACTAATACTACTTCATTGTACATGTTGTCTCTGCCTGAGTAATAGTCTAATAATTGTGTAATGGTACATAGTGTAAACGTTTTAGAACCAATGGTCTGGTCTAATTTTGATGCCTCCTGGTTTCTGGTTCTGGTCATGGGTCCTTCAGTCATGATTCTCTTCTCGTGTTCTGTCATGGGTCATGATTCAGTCATGATTCTCTTCTCGTGTTCTGGTTGTTGGTCTCTGACTCAGTGTTTGACTCACGCAGCTGTAGGATGGTTTTCTTCCTCCACACACCAGTTTGAAGCCACTCAGCGTCGACTGAAGAAACCAACCAATCAGACGGTCAAACAAACCAGGAAACAGCTGTTGAAGATCTGAACCTCAGTCTCCCAGAACAAACTCACCCAAACTCCTGCAATGAACACGAGGAAGATCTCTTTCTGGAAGAAGGTCGACACCTGGAGCAATATCAGGCCCAGAGAAATACTGGTGAGGGCGAGGGTCATCTCCACCGCCTGGACAGGAAGTGACATAAGAGAGACAGGAACAGGGAGTGAAGGACAGGGTGGATGAAACGAACAAAAAAGGGAACAGAAGGATTCAAATGTAAAGGATACAGGACATTTTTGTTGTACAGTTACTGCATTGTCTACATCAATTAGTAAATATTAAGAGATTAGAACTCAATCTCCCATGAGGCTCTGGGATAATTGGCTTTAGAGCCATAACTGTTAAAAAGAATCTTCCTAGTCCAGGAAGAGGATGCTCAGATGATGGACCGTTAAAGTGATGTTTCCATTAGGGCATCAGTAATAATTAATAATGTGTGTAATTCAATATGCAGTGTTTGTCTCAACAAATGTCCCACACTGAGGAGGAGTCAGTGAACACACCCCAATGATCTTCAGGTTCTCCAGAGTCTGCAGTAAAAAAAAGAAAGAAAAAAAGTTTCATTTAAACTTCCATTACTCTGTTCATCCTGTTAGAGATCTTTGTTCGTGGAGTCCATTCCACCATAAAAATTAATTCAAGCAGCAATTAATTTATAGCAATTAAAAACAGTGAAGAATGACGATATGTTTTGATGAAGTTTTACTAGAAAGAGTTAGAAGTAAAAGTCAGTAAAAACTCACCATTTTTACTTTGGTTCTTCTTACAAACTGTAACAAAAAACAATAACCAACACACACTGTAATATTATCATCATCTTTATTATTGTTATAATTATTACAGTTTTATTTTACATATAACTTAAGATCTCAGAATTATGTTGATATAGTGTATCTTGAACGTAGCCGAGGAACAAACGAAGCTTAAAGTTAGTGAAAAACATAAAAGTCCCAGTGCCCCC